CCTGACTTGTCTTAACTAGCGGGTTGCTCTTCCATATAATTTAAATTGAATAATTAACATTGAATCAAGAATATTATAATCATTGATTATATCATTTATTTTTATATATATATATTGACACTCAGGGAATGTAAACACTTTGAGTTTAACAAAATTAAACCATTAAAGGAGATAGCAATGCACTGAACAAAGAATACATTAATGAAAATTCTGATTTTAAAGAACAGTTTGCAAGTGAGTAAGCACTTCATTACTTGCATTTAATGGAACTTTACAAAATTATAAAATTCCTCAAATATAGCAATAAATTTACACTTTCTAATACTTTATATAACTGGAATCTTCAAGCCTTGTCCAGACTATCAATTTTATTTGTAAACAACATGTGATATGCCTAAATGTGGCCATGACCATATACAGGCACATCATGACTATATATGGGCACATCATGACTATATATGGGCACATCATGACTATATATAGGCACATCATGACTATATATAGGCACATCATAACTATATATGGGGACATCATGACCATATATAGGCACATCATGACTATATACATGGGCACATCATGACCATATATAGGCACATCATGACTATATATGGGCACATCATGACCATATATAGGCACATCATGACTATATATGGGCACATCATGACCATATATAGGTACATCATGACTATATATGGGCATACAACAGTTTTTGTCAAAGTAAATTTGATAGTGTGGACGAAGCTTTAGGATTAGGCCAAGAAGATACACTAAATTCAGAGGCGCGCACACACTGTGTAGTACAACTGTCGACCGATGAATCCATCACCGGTCTCTGCGAATGATTGTAGACAGCAATCTAAGGGGATCCTCATTAAAAGCGATCCGCTGCGTGCACGCGTGTTGTCGTATTGCGTTTTTTATGGAATCATGTCAGATGATATCTGCCGGGACCGTGTGTACCTTGCCTAATAGATTCGTGTCTGTAAGACCTGTTACATGTTTACTGAAGCGATTTTTTTTTGTAAATAATTCCTTTTTCTTAATAATTTTCTCAATTTATCTATACTATTGTAATCTCATAATGCCGACATGACCTAGAAGAGTAATTGCTCCTGAGTGGGGAAAAAAAAAGTTTTTCCAAAATAATAATAATAAACAACAACAACAATACCATAATAATAATGATAAGAAATACATAATTACTTACTACCCCAAAGACTGATAGTATCAAACAAAAGTCTGATTAAACAATGTTGTTAACAATCTTATAACGTATCCCAAACTTTGTATATATATATATAATTATAAGGCACATAATAATTCCTGTGTAGGTCAAAGGTATATACTTTACAACTTCTTGAATCTGAAGGAACACTTAAGATCTGAAGGAACACTTGTGGAAATAAATTTAAAATTATTAATCAACATTATTTTTATCACAAATGTATTATTGTCATCATTATCGCAGTTAATAAAGATAAACTATCTGTAGAAATATAAAGAAAACACATTAAAATTAAATTTAAAAAAACCTAAATTGCTTATTTAAGGTGTAAATATTTTATCACCTTTAACAAATAGATCAAAATCAGTGCTTTAAAGTCTATTTACTATATAGATCATTAAATTGTCTACCAGCCAATTTAAGGAATATCATTATTATGCTGTTGTGTCTGTTAATAATTGACAAAAAATTATATATTATAGTTATTATAACTTTCAATAACTTGCTTAAATATACAAAGAAAAATCAAATATATTTTATTGTTTAAGATTATTAAACTAAAACCCTGTCCAGACCACCAAATTATATTTGAAAAAACATGACATGCTTAAATATGGTCATAATGACATCAAATCATGGCCATATATAGGCATATCATGACTATATATGGGCATACATTTTTTGTCAAAGAAAATTTGACAGTACGGACAATGTTTAACACAGACAGAATATCTTTAAATACATTTAAAACAAATAATATAGATGACAATAATATATAGATGATAAACATATATTCATAATATCAATAAGTGTAATAATTACGATAAATATGATATCAATATATAATAACAATACCCAGTAACAATAACAATATAATAAATAATAGAAGCTCATTTTAAGTACGTATAACACTACTTTAATTTCCCACTTAATGTAACTAGACGCGTTTTAGGAATGAACGATTTATGAAATTTCATGCAGTGTAATAGAAACGACTTTATATTACAGTATGTTCTGCTCTTCAAGTTTGAATACTTTTATTAATCTAACTGAAACTAAGCTATATGAAATGATTCATTCTACATGCTGGGCAATTCGTCCTATATGCTGGACTAATCATCACATATGCTAGATTACTCCTCCCAAATCTTGAATATTCTTCAGCACAGGTTGGACAATTCGTCTCATTGGGTAAATATAAATTGTCCTGATACAGAAGATAAATCATCTGCCTTTGTCTGTGGAGTTAATAGTTTCTATATGCAAAGAAAACCTCTACCATCTTTAAAATTATAAATAGGTTAAAAAAAAAAAAATTATGGCAATAACGCAGCAATATGGTACATAATATATTTAAAATCATTAATAACAATATCATCTGCTGCTCTATTTAGGTCACCTTTAGAAAACAAAATTTGATAAAATTTCATAACCAATAAACCATACAATTAAATCTCCCAGGAAAGCACTTGCAGTTTCAAATGTTAAAAATGTTATCAATGTTTGGCATAATTACAAGAGAATAAATTGTTTTTACCTTTTATCCATTGAAAACTTAATTTATAAATTATCTTCATACAATAAAAATAAATATATAAATTCTATTCATTTGATTTCACCATAGATACTATACAGAGATTAGTATGTGATTTCACATAAGAACTGAATATCTAAACAATTTCTCATATCTTCTTTTTTCTCATTGGTTCCACTGGCCTCCCATAGGCAGTTTACAATGCATCATGGGAAAGCTAGATTTGCAGACTACTTGTAACTTTTAAAACCAATCAACAGGCTCTGCTTTAGGGTTGTCTATTTTTTTTTCAAACATTTTCACAAGAGTACAAAAATATGCTAGTGGGTCAATACAAAAAGGAAAAAAATACTCTCTTGAAAATTATGAAAGAAAGAAAATTATGACACCTTAATACGATGTACCCTAGATTTATTTTATTCAGCTCCAGAAGAGGCTAAAAAATGCAATGCCTAAAGTTCTCTGGGCAGGGTCCCAAGTAGAATTACTGATGGGGGTTAGGGGAATAATATCTTTGTTTAGGATGATACGGTGCTTTTAGACCACAATATTAGGAAATGCCAAAAGAATAACTTGGGTCGGGATCAGCAAATTTATATTTTTCAGTTCAACAAACTTGGGTGGTGTTTGACAACTTATGAAGGAAAATCCCCCCACCCCCTAACCATCCAGTGGCTTTGCCACTGTGCAGCTCATGCTTACTATGACTGCTAAGAAAAGCGTAATATTTAACCCTGACTACATGAATAACTAATAAGGCCTTATTCACATAGAGGAATAATCATGTAATTCTTTACAATTAACTTTACCAATTGAGTATAACTTCAATTAAGCATTGTTGATACAAGACAAAGATTCAACAGACACTGACAAAAACTTCAATAAAATTGAGTGCAACTTGATATCATAGTATGACTTAATTCACATTACTTGACTTAATTAAATTTACTGAAGTGACTAACTTTAAATAAGTTTTGCTATGATTTAACCTGGCATGACTAAAAATTCAATTGAGTAAGACTTTATCTATTTGAGTATGACTAAAATTCAAGAGAGTATGGCTTAATAAAATACAGTAAGACGTCAATCTCTCTTGGGTCTAACTTCAGCTTTCGCTGGCAGACAATATCATCATAATCATCAGGTAAAAGTTTTAAATCTGAATGAAGTACGGTAGAACCCAACAAAGTTGAACTCAGTTTTATTTAACAAAACACTTGTAATTTTGGAAACCAACAAATATATCTAAAAACATTATTCAGGTAATTTATAATAATGGTGGGAAAATTTTTAATTATAATTAAGACAATCTTACATACAAAATAAATAAACATACAGATGCAGTGACAGAAGGAACTTAGAGCGTGAGCCAAATGTGACATCTCAAATATAAAAATATTTTCCAAAACAGTAAAATTTTGGCCCTATTTTACAAGTAGAGGAACTTACATATTAGATATTTTAATTCTTTTTTATTCTTATCCTATTCTTGATACCATCTGCAATTTTTTAAAAGCACCAATTAAAAGCAATATTGCTAAACTTATATTTTATCCTTATCCCCAATCGCTGTGTATACAGGGAATGGTATGATTGGATAAAAACGCAGCTCTTAGATATAGGCAGCTCAGTTCCACCATAGAGATATTATAACACCTCTATGGTTCCACCTTTAAAATGGGCTCTCTTAGCAACATCTATGCAATGATACACAAAATTATTAGCCCGGGCAAAGACCTCCACATGAGATTTTAATAACCCTTTGGAATTAATGCTGTACACACACCAATTCGGAGTGTTGGCCTAAAGATAATGGTCCCTTGTTATGCAAATTAAATGGAATTATTAGAGGCTTCTTTCTGAGCTCAATTAGTGTAATGGTAATATGTTCATTGTTGGGGAAAATAGGCTTTGTGAATGCCTTTCAGGCTTGTAACAGTTTCATCTGTATGGCTAGGCAATGTTTCACTAGGCTTCTGTGCTAAAGCATTTCACCATCAACATAGCCTTGTTTTAGTCAAAATAACAACAGACTTGAATTATCATACAAACGTTTGCTTGGTTTTCATTATTATGTGGGTATTACTATGCAACATGTCTGTAAATATAAACTCATGAACTGGTTATGTTGCGTAGTAGGGTTCGTCGTTATTGCACCATTAACATTTTTTTTCATATATCCTCTTCTCTGTACGCTTGCCTGAAATTCTAATAGACCAGATCTTTAGGTTTGACATGCATATTTTACAGCTTAATTGGACTTGCCTACAATCAGGTTAAGTGAAATTGACTGGTCCACTGGGTGACTGCACGGTCATACAGTAGAAACGGCTTTGTTCGAACCAGGGTATAGCATCAGTAAAGATTGGACAGTATTGGCTACTCGTAAAATACCCTTCTCTTCCAAGATGTCGGCAGCTGAACATAATTTATCCTAAGTCAAAGATAAAATATGCTTTAGTTATTCTTACTTATCAACATGTTTTTTATTCACTCCAGTTTAAAAACAAACTAAAATATTTTCTACGCTTGTAAGTGTGCTACAAAAATTCCCTTAAGGTTATCTCATAACTGGAGCAGTGCTAGTGCTATGTTCGTGAACAACAATATACCATTATTCTATTAATATATTTGTATGTCTGTGTTTAGATTTAAGCATCGTATGCCTTCCAGTAATAACATGCTTGTTTCAACTATTTGTAATAGGCTAAACGTGCTATACTAATCAAAATTGTCTGACAGGTGGAATGAACTTTTATAAATTGATGATTCTGGTTATTCAATCTCTTTTTTTTTTACAAATGACTAATATTGTTTTGTACAGTATTCTTTCTCCTTGTTTTTTGATATGGACAATGGATGTCTGAAATAAAATTTGAATGACTGAGTGAAATGAATTATATTCCCACTCCCACTGAATAAGATTACAACTTCAGTGCATTTCCCAACAAAATGTTTAAGAAACATTTTTTGAATACAAAACACTTTGATAATACAGCTCTCCCACTATTAAAGACCCCTCCAATGAAAGATCACATTTCTGCACCCTCCAAATCAAAGCTGCTAAAGACCATGAAACCTCCAGTTCCAAAAGTGGTCTTTAATTGGAGGGAGACCTGTAACAATAATAATAATAATAATAATAATAATAATAATAATAATAATAATAATAATAATAATAATACAGTAAAAGACCAATTAGTAATAGTGGTGATAATAACAACAGTGATAATGATAGAATGAAAAAGATGACAATAAATATTAAAATGGTGAAAATGTGCAGACATTGATAATAGTGGTGATGATGATGATAAAAATTATGACAGTGATAATGATGATAGCAATGATTATGATGAGTGATAATGTTGATAGGGATGTTAATGATGATAATAATACTGATGATGATGACGATATAATCATGATTAAGATGATTAAGGTGATGAATTTCATAGGACACATTTTATGTACAAGTATCATATTTTTCATAAAGGAAATATCTCAGTGGCACAAGAATACAGATATTAAAGTAGAGCCCTTGGACATAAATTATGAATTTCAAAAAAAGATAAGCTAAACCATAAGGACATAGGTATTGCAAAATCAGAGTCCTTAGCAAGCAGACTGACCTTACATGAAGGATTGTACAAGTGAGAGACACTAGGTAGATAATGGAAATCTGCTAGGGTTGCAAAGTTCATATTTGAATAGTGTACCTGGTAGCTATCATACAGTCAATCTATTATGCTAGTTATGAATGGAGCATGTACACAGCTAAAATAGATTTTATTGCACAATACACTTAGTCTATTATGGAAATGTGTAAATGATAAGTACAGTCATGATAAATCTGGGGTATAGTAAAGCATATGCACTTATTAACAAACACATTTCAACATAATCAATTAAGATGTTTGCAACTAGTAGTACTAAATCACAGAGACTGTTGAAAACACAGTGAACCTATTAGCCTGTTAATATTTGCTGTGCTTCATTTTTATACATTGTATATTAACAGGTATATATATTCCAGAAGAAAAGAGCTTGGTTTTTTTTTTTTGTTTTTTTTTTCTGTTCTGTATTGATTGTGGGTGGTTGTCAATCCAAACATGTCTTCAATCAAATAATTATTTTGTGTTATTTCTAAGATGTGTTGTGTTATTTTTTATCAACTTGCATCCTTTTGGTTTGATTATAAAGGATTTTAGTTCCAGAAATGTACCTGTTTCTTCGTTAAAGGGCCAGCCATAATTTAAAACATTTTGAAAAGAATAGAGGAGGGAGTGAAAGTGCAGGCATAAGTACTCTTTTATGAAAAACATTATGATGATCTCAAAACCACACATTTTATTGTGTATTTTTTCATCGGGAGGGAGGGGGGTCACAGAAAAGAGTATGTTTTGTACTCTTATGAATGACCCCTTTAGGTAATGAGAAAACATCTATTCATTTACAAAAAAGCGAATTGGATTCCAATTTTCTACACACACACACACACATAATCTATATACATTAAAAATTTTTTTTTTATTTGATAGCCTTACCTCATTAAAATTAGCCTAAGAAATATAAAAAGATAAATAATTTAATAAATACAAGCAAAAAAAAATTTATAGTACCTGAGTCACTCCAAGTCGTCGACACGCTTCAATGAAGTTTTCAACATTCTTTCGACATTTCGCCATTGATAATTTGCTCTGAAATGATTCAAATAAATACATTCAGTCACAGGGGAGCATGGCAAGCTTTATTGAGGTTTGAGGCGAATCTAGTAGTAGGACTTTAAATTTGTACAAAGGAAAGCTCACATTATTTCAATACAGCCCTCAATGATACCTTTACAACAGTACCTCCAATATTCATTTCCTTTCATTTATTTCGTCTTTGGAACACAACAAAGAATTGACACACACAAAAAAAACGAACTACAGTATTAAGGGGTGGACGGGATGATAAAAAAGTTGAATTAAAACAACTATCTAGTGATTCTTCAACTCCTTAAAAGCTAACATTTAAAAGAAGATAACAAAATACAATTGAAGTACAGAAAGATAAAATTCATATTCAATCAAGAGGCAGTAACAGACTTTATGTGTCAACATTCAGCAAGTTGTGTTTAAGTTAAAAAATGAAATGTGAAAGGGAGAGAACAAGCGAATGTTTTAATATTATAAGGTAGTTCATAGAACATCTGGCGAAAGCATTAAATATATGATAATGGGAAGTGTTTGTTCTGGAAATAGTATGGATAAAAATAAAATGATCAGTGTGGAACAAATTCTGAGAGATATAACATTCAATCGATGTTGATTTTCTTATATAAAGCCTCAGCAATTCCTTGTACAATAGTGCCCCCAACTCAACTTCCTCCTTCCATTTTAATATTTAAATGAGCCTACTAATATATTCATTCACATACAGGATATATCAAATAGTTAGCCATCAGCACATCCACAGAGTAGGTGATATCAACATCATTGACAGGGATGGGTCTCAGTTTCTCTAAAAAAAATCTCTCGGAAAATAACCCATCTCTCGCAAATACTTGATATTTGCATGGTTTTACTACTGTATAATCATTTTTCTCCGAGACGTTAGTGTCGATGAATATCACCATGCACAGCAAAAAATAAAATGTGTTTAAACAGGTCTCCCAGAATTGGTTTCTTCTAAAATGGGACTCCTACATCATTTTAAAACTTGCCATGGGTTAAGTCAGGACTTGCCTATCTGTAATTTCTAGAATTATCCAAGTCAAAGCACTTATCTACCTTGTCTGTGAAATTGGTGTGCAGTGCTTTCGGTGGTACTTTTCTGCGGGAGGTATTTAATTACTATATGCTGAAAGCCGAACTATGGCTTAAAATATGTGCATCTCGCATTTCCATTCCAAACAATAAGTATATTCTGTATGTTTGGCAGTTAATTTTGGTGTTATTTGTAATGGTAATTTGAAGTAGAGGTTAAAGAAATGGACTATGTACTTTAATCCATCAATAACTAATTAATGGGGATATAAATCTGATTGCCAAGCCAGGCTTTATTTACCAAAATGTGCATCGTCACGCCATTAAAACCCATTACCTATACTTCTTATTTCTCACGGAGGTCACACTGAATTAGATGCTTGTATTTTTTATGCCCAATATTACCAAGTACGCAATCTATTAAGACCTTTGCTGCAAAAGGACACTCAATACCTCAGTCAACAACAAACAAAAAATTGTTGCAAGTATTTCTTTTGATTTTTGAGCATTAACATGTAGTGTTTATAAGCGCTAACTGTACATACAGTCAATAGCCACCATGTGTGGCAAAGACAAGCCAAACCAGTCATTAGTTACAAATCGTGTTTTAGTTTAATGACCAATACATGCTGGAATGTCAACATTTTTGAAATCTATTTTTGCACTAAACTAACCTTTATATATCTATACATCATACTATGCTGCTATTTTGCCTATTTTCAATGTTAAAACAACAATTTTTAACAATTTGGAGATGGTTTCTGCCTGTGAAATGCCCAAAATAATAAAATTTGAAGGCTGAATTCTCAAATATTGTTCTTTAAACAGCGGTATGTTTAAACTTCATAAGGAAATGTCCGATTTAAATGATTCTTTTACCATTTCATAGCTCTCATTTTACTTTTTAACCATGTATTAATAATAATAACTAAAAAATTGATTTTAGCGACAAGTGACTAGTTTGGCTTGTCTTCGCCACGTATATGTGAACCAGTATCCAGTACCAATAAACCTAAATGTTTGATTGGTTTGAGAGCAGTACACCGATTGATGGGTTGAATAACTTTGCCTTTAGCTCAGCTTATGTTATTTGCACTGACTCAAGATATATGGCCAATGTACATTTGTATAGCACATAATTATAACATTCATCACATATTGTCTATGAATATAAAAACATTGTGTAACAATGTATTGTGGGTACTGCCAAGAACACAAGCACAACACCCACCAGATAGAAAACATTAAAAACATTTGGTTGTCTTTACAACAATAAGGAAGCCATACATAATCTTGACTAATCAGTTTGCCCACAGTGTAATGCATAATACAAAATGCATGTTGTTGTTGCTACAGGTCATGACAATTTCCTAATTATTGCCACAAGTTGGAAGGTTAACATTACAATGTATGATTCAAATATAAAATTGATAAATGAAGGTTTAATTAAACTTTAAGTAAATCTTATCTTACCAGTATTTCTAAAATTATAATTTGTGGACAGGTCACAACTGCACTTAATGGAGAAATTTAATATTGCCAATAAGAATGTCAACAAATTCAGATAACATTAACAACTAACAATGAATACAAAAAATATTCCAAAATAGATTGCATAATTGATGGATGAAACATACAGTACTAAAAAAAAATCAATATTAATTTGAATACTCACTGGAGAAGGGGGTGGAACATGTATTGATGGAACAGCCCTTGTCCTTACACTGTTGACAAGATGACATAATGCGTAACCATCTTTAATTGCTGCTGACAGGTCGTCTGATAGAGGGTGCTTCAGCCTTGCCTCAAGATTCTATTCAAAAAGAAGACAAATACACTATTAAATGTAATAATGGGAAGATTAGTAATGTATTTAAAGAGATTAAAGAGATGAATTATAGGCTTAATGTAATCAGACTTAATCTTCATGAATTTCTTAATATTAAGCTATGTTCCCATCAAAGCCCCGATCCGGTCCGGTGCCCAGACAAAAAATCGTGAAAAATGGGTTCAGTGGTAAAGAATAGGACAGTTCACATCAAATTCATATAATTTCCAATCCGGACTTCGGATCTGGACCGATGGATCTGAGAGCCATTTGCATCCAGAAATCATACTTTTTTTCCCCCTTGGACCAATTAGCAACAAGCTTGGTTGGTTGGTTCGAACCATTAGAACGCATACGCACTTAACCCGAATAACCATGTTCCGTGTGCGATGTGAATGCAGCGTTAAAAAAAAATCACAATTTTTTGTCCTGGCTCCAGACCGGATCCAGGCTTGATGTGAACGTAGTTTTAATCTGGATATGCATCAAAATTAATTTTTGATTTGTGTGTTTAACTACTTTGAAATACAAACAAGATCCATGCCGTGACAAACTGAATGTGTTTGGAACTCATCAACATTATGTCACTAAAGCTCTATCCACACTATCACATGTTATGTGACAAATTTCTGTGATGTGACCATATATGAGAATGATGATGTCATATTACACCCAAATATAGGCATATCACAGTTATGTAATAATATTTGATTGTTTGGACAAAACTCAATGAAATTAAAAATTCATTATGAATACATTATTAGAAATTACAAGTGTATATAGTTAAAATCTACATTATATTTCACAAGAAACTGTCCTATTTATTATGGGATGTAAAATGTATATTGCTTTCTAACACAACAATATGAAAATAGCCTCAGTTGAATTATGGGATTTTATCAATGCTATTGCATTATGAGATAATTTCAAGCAATTTCTGTTGAATATGGAATAAAAATGTAAGGATGCAATGAATAGTAAGATTGAACATATTATGAGATGGTAACATACTGTTGCATGTGTGTTACTTCTACTCGAAATGGTAATTAAAATCATTAAGCACGAGTATAACTTCAAATGAAATGATTTTTATTCAGAAACCCTATTTTCTCCTATTAAATTTCCTTGTTATTTTAAACAAGAAAAGAATTAACCCATTCTCATAACGTCAAAGTGAAACAAAAACAAAAATAGGCAAGGCAACTAGTACAAACATAATAATTCTAAGATTTAAAAACAAATATATATAGCAGACTACAATAACAAAATTTTACTAAAAATTTCTTATCAAATATATCAAATAAAATATATGATATACATCAATACAATAATCAATAACATTTTTGATAGCCAAACTACACAAAAAAAATTGATGTAACTATAACATGATAATCTTGAAGGTATAAGTTCTTGAAGGATTTCATGGCATGTATCAATAACAAAATCAAAATCATAGCTATGAAATAATAAGGGATATAGTAACTGTTAGTCTAGGTATAGTTTAATTATCATTTCAAATGCTTAAAATTGAATCATGCATGCATGCTGCCTCTTAAAACCCCACCCTCTCCCCCATCCCAAAAAATCCTTACAAAATTCTCCTCATCCTAAACACACCTATCAGATGATACTCCATAATACCTGTAACTCACGTTTAAACTCCAAGGTTATCAAAAGAAAGAATTATATGTACTAATAGGAATTATGAAAAGCTATTGACGTATGAGAAGAATATGTACTTGAAGGAAAAACCGTACGGCAAGGTAATTCTGCAGACAAGGAACAGCTCCTCATGCAGAAGACATAAAGGTACAGAAATAAAAATTTGTTATTGCCTGCTTCCATCTCTAAAGAGATGATGGTACAGTGAAATTAAGTAAAAAAACCATATTAGAAACAAAAGACCTATCATCACCTGATGAAATTCATAATCATAGACAATTATTAATCGTTATTTGATTTTACAGTAGAGTAATCCAAATACATGAGTATTCGATGTAGCGTGATTATGGACAAGGACGCGTTATCTTGCATCACGTAGTTGCACGTGCCTCAACCGATAAAATGAGAGTAAACCTACCATAAAAACATTCAAAATTAGAGTACTACAGTATTACAAAACATGTGACATGCCCAAATATGGTCATGATGACATCACATCATACGAGGTAAAAACACTTGACAGGATTTGAACCTAGGACCCAGAAATTGTAAAGCAAGGATCAACAACCTTACAGTATGCCACTTCATGATAACAATTTCAATGATAGGCCACATCTTGGGCTACTAAGAACCCTATTTGTACTTTGTTTCAGAGAGCCAACTACAGTAACGGCTCTGGTACTTAAGTGGTATGGTATGACCTTAACTAAATTTAGATTTTACTTTGAATAGCCTATGATATTATCTATTCCTACATACTGCGCCTCCATGGTATTTGCTTAATTATCATTTACACATTATTGTTGTGATGGACCCAAAGAATCAATAATTTCTATAATGTGTGCTTGCAAACATTTTAACTGTATAATTTGAAGGACAAATACAATCATGTATTTTTATAGAAGATGTGTAGTGCTATTTTACAGCATTGCATAGCACTGCTTTGTTACTGAGCATCTAATAAGAATACTGAAAATTTGTTGTGCGCTGGTATCCATCTGAAAAGACGCCAGTGTAAATTATGTTATAATATTTAACTTGAAAATGCTATAGACACTTTACTGTTCACTCAACCACATTAACCCTTTGAGTAGTGTTGCTTAGTAACAAAAGGGGGACATTGCTGCAAATAATTTGAGTGTATTGTTTTGATGAACCTAAGAATCAATTAAACATAGTAATGTATAAGCTTCCTATTTGCACACTGTATGAATTGTCACTTAATTGTATTGTTTACATGAGTGTTACACGGTTAAACCTTGTAATTATCTATCATTATAATCTATATGAATTTATCTCCTGTACATTTATTTAAACTTTATTAAAATCATATTCTAATACATTACTCTGTATTGTATTTCTATCTTTGTACTGACAACAAGTTACTTGTTAGTAGATGATTTCTAGGAGCAAGATTTTTTTTTTAATCAATCATGAATTTTTTAAAGCATGCCGCATAGAAGGTGGCTACAGCCTAAGTAAATGATGGAGAAATTTGTTGAAAAAAACATGCAAGCATTGAACGGAATTAAGCTGAATGAAGCATTTTTGGTGATTCAATGGAAAATTTGGCAATGCACTTAGCTTACAGTTTAAGAATAATAATTAGGATAACCAGTCACCCAGCCACCCCTTAAAAAGGCAGTGGGTACTACAAACTCCTAAGTATCTATGACCCAGTCTTACATTTATGAACGTTGAATGGTCAACGACCTTAGATATAAACGCAAGTCAAACCAGTGGGAAATTAAGATGGTGGAGTGGGGGAGGGAATGATCTCCAAACAGTCCACTCTTCAAATGCCCAAATCAATCAAGTCATAATGTTGAGTAATTTCTCTTCCTTGTGCACTTTACTTTGTAGCCCTTTTATTTTCATTTTTGTTATTTTTTTTCAGCTTTACAATAATTCTTACTAAAACTAGTAATTTTCATACTGCTCTAATTTGTCTTGTGTAGAACAGATTTAGAGTTATCAGATTAACGACTCATTCTGAAAATGTTGACTGCTTTCCTGTTTCAAAAAAGGACAAGGAACTCTTTTATGTGGCCTTAATACTAACAATATTTTCTGGTTGTAAATCATTCTTTATTCATCAAATCAAAATTTCTTTTTTCTTTAATAAGGGTAATATGTTGAGACAAAATTTAGTCATGTCTCCATTGTAAATCTACTTACTCAAGCAGTTTCTAGACAGAAAATACATTTTAATATAATACTTTGTAATACAAGATATATTTTATCCTAATTCAGATATAGTACAACCTCAAGTTCACAGTATTTGACCTCTATCTAAGCCAAACATTCACTTCAGAAGATATTTCAAGATAAGATACACATTATCTTCTAAATTTAACTACAATATAATGCAAATTGGTTGTGGGCACTCATAAAAAAAAATCACAATTTGATGTGTAACACTTGGCCTCATAGCTTGGTAGAGTATCCGAATGGCAACTGGAAGGTCTTGAGTTCAAATCCCAATGGAGACACCAATGTTTTTCTTTGAAATTCATTATCAATTATTTACCCCCAGTAGAGGTGTAACGCCATAACAAAGTTACTATCATACGATATTTTAATGTTTGATTGTGTTATTAATACAAATATAATAAAACAATTACAATTTTATTAAACATCAAACAACATTACAATGTAATAAAGATAATAAAAATCTACTAAACATAATGGAGTTAAATTGTACCTTTAAAAAATTTCCATTTGGTTGTTAAGAAACTTGCTTTCCAATCCCAGGATTATAGACTCAAATCTTGAAACTTAGTATCTATGACCCAGTCTTACATCTCATGACTAAAAAAAAGTTGACTTTAAACTAACTTGCCTCTTTATTGATTCTATTTTTAAGTTCCTTTAATTAGAGAAAACTCAATGTAAGGTGGAATAAAAAATTAATTCTTATGACTTGTAACATCTTGAAAGGGCGTCCCCCTCCATATTTATCATCCAAGTTAAAGAACTTCCAAATGAAACAAAAATCAACTTTAAAGAATTAACATTATTTTCATTCCATTCCAAAATTGTCTATTACCGGTAATTTATTTATATGTTAGCGCCTTGAGCAATACTGCAATGGATATTTGTACTTTATCTTATTATTATTATTATTATTATTTGTGTATTGTTTTCTTTCCATTTTGATGATTTGTTTTGTAACTCTACCACTACTACGGAAGTACTGAATGTGCTTGCAATTTAAAGAAAAAATTAATAAGTAATAATATGCCTCAGAAAGAGATTAGTTTATTGAGCATCATTGCCATTTTATTATAATTGTAACACACTGTTGAATGATTGAGAATGCAATAAAATATAGAGTGATATTTGCTACTGACTACACTGTCAAATCCAATATTAACATTAGAACTTTATTAACTATTCCAAACGTCCTTCACTCGGGTTGTCTGATCTTCTGTGTAACACCAAATATGGTACTTGAACTTTGGACGAGTCATCCATTCTTTCTTTATACATCATTTTATTGATATCAATAACTCTCATATTGTAATGTCAATATATTTACATTGCCACTATGAAAAGTTTTGCATTGTTAATCAGTGTTTGCCAAGATACTTGATGAGAGGAGATTGAAGAGTAAAGGTCATGTTTATCACTCAGTACATATAGTATAGTTCTCCACTTGTAGTACCATAAAGGTGCTTTAGCAGTGCGTATCTTATTAGCCGCTCTGGGATTTGTAGAAAGTGCCAAATGTAAAACCAAACCAGGGGAGGCTATTTCTTTATTTTGGCATTGTTTGTGGTGTTAAAAATTAATTAATTACCACATATATAACTATGTTAATCGCTAATCTACATAATGAATTACTTATTTACTCACTGACTATTTTCTAACACATGAATACAATAAAAAATAAAGCAATACCTACAAAACAACCATTGTTGTAAAGCTTAACCTATGTGAGATGTCACACATAGAGGGAGCAAGCATAATTTTCTGTCACTCAAAAGCAGCTTTAATATAACTATAGTTTAAATTTAATTTCTTCAATATTGATTACGAAGTCTGAATAATAAAAGAACAAAGAGACTGTGGACAGCATGTTAAATATAAAAAAAATAATGAATTTTATTTTAAAAAAAACAAAAAAAACAAAAAAAAAATCAAAAATACATTAGAAAAATCAAAAATATTATTATGTGTGACTAATGGCTCGTTCAAGTGGCTTTCCACGTACCAAAGGATCACTTTGTGTCTATGCCATTTGGTAAACCGTACTAGCAACTCTGATCCTCCACATGGGCTGTCTGGATCAGTACACCAGGGTATCCCCTTACTGGGTTCTTTAAAGTGCACATTAGCCAATAATTTCCCGAGAAGAACTTGTTCCACCATTAGAACAATGGTTGAGCCTGAGCTCCAATAAGTGCTAATATTACAGCTGTAGGCTTCCCCCGCATAAAACTGTTCGGCCAATCAACTCGCAAACAAATTGACATTGTTAATAGAGCTTAAGGACTTTAAGCTAGACATACATTATCTAAATTATGTCAGATTAACTAAATAATGTTTGACGAGATTTTGATAATGTAAACATTTGTCAGATTACTGACAGACATGAACAAACATACAGTTTGTTTGATGAGATATATGTGAAGCAAGAATACACCATTAATCTCTACCACTCTTGGTGACAAATTTGTGTGAATTGGCCATATATGGCATGATGATGTCATATCACATCCATATGGGCATATCATATCAAATCCATATGGAATTTCCCCCACAGGCATCGTTCCAATGACTGGAATAATAATGTGGAAATGCGCTCTGAGGCTTAGATGTATAGAATGCTATATAAAAGCCTACATAATATTCTTAATAATATTATTATTTATTAATTATTATTGATTAATATTATTATTTATTATTATTATTTTTATTATCATTATTATAATAATAATATAAGGGAATGATTGTGTCATATAATATCCATATATGGGCAAATCATAAGTATCTTTTTTAATTTTATTTTTGAAAAACCATATTTATAGAGGGTGACCCTTCTAGCATATCCTATTAGATCCTAGAAAATTTGTGTGAATTGGCCATATATAGGCATAACGTCATAGACACATCCATATGGGCATGATAATATCATATCAAATCCATATATGGGCATGTTGATATCATAATATATCAGTGATTTTTTTTCATTAGGCTTTGGAAGTGGAGTTGTTTTTAGTCATCAGAAAAAGTTCTGCTGTCACAAGAATTGAATCCAGGACCCTGGGATTAGAAGGCAAGCACCTTAACCACTAAGCCATTCAACTCCACTCCACTCCATGCAAGTTAATAGTGTGGTAGAAAAAATCTGATTAAGATAAGAATCTGTTATTGTATGCCTAGATTAACGCACACAGTAAGTTTGCTGGACACGGTGGGTAAACATACTATAACCACAATACCAAGAATCTCCACAAAAAATAAAATATTCCAATCCACTTAAAGCTTTTGGCATTTTAATGCTGGTTTATTAGTCAAAGCATCAGGATGCTGGCGGATTTGCCATACCCATAAAATTATTCATAATTATCAACTTAGGTGATAACACAATCTATTTAATATTGTAATACTTATAAAAAAAAAAACCTTGTTAAGTAACTTCATCTGGTTTCAATAAAATTATCAGAAATATGCTTCATTTGAAAGAAAAAAACAAAACACAGAAACCTATTCATGATCACAAAATATACTGGTATAATCTAAAATTACTGGTTGCCATATTTGATTGGAGAATTTTTATGGTTGCTTTTCTAAAGAATTAAAAACATGTTTAATTTTGGAAAACAGAGAGAAATCTACTCATGGTTATGAAAATATACTGGTATAATTTACAATTACTGGGTGATATTTTATGAGACAATGTTTTATTGGACAAAAAAAAAACCCTGTTAAGCAAATTCATCTGGTTGCAATACAATTATCAGAAATAAGTTTGATTTTATAAAAAAAAAAAACACAGAAACCTTTAATGATCATAAAATATACTGGTAAAATTTAAAATTAGTGGTTGCTTTATTTGATTGAAAGGTTTTAAGGTTGCTAATATGAAGAATTAAAAATATGTTTAATTATGGAATACACAAAGAGAAAACTAGTCATGGTTATGAAAATATACTGGTATAATTTTAATTTACTAGGCGAAATTTTATTGGATAGTTTTTTAAAGGGTTGGTTATATTTAATTAAGAACACACTCTGCAGTAAAAATTTCTTGAAGATAAAGATGGTAGAGCGGTTGTTAAGGGTTCAACCTCTCGATTTAGGGTATAGGGTTCAAATCCTATGTGGTCTATTCCACAATAATTGTTAAGCTCAGAAATTTATCTACATCTCCACCATGAAGTGTACTGTAGTTCCTTATGCAAAACCTTACCCTCTTAAATATGGAATTGGGTCATGTTTGAGTATTGGCCTATACTCAGGAATTAACAAAATAATATTGGGCTTGGGCCTGCAATGAAAATTATTGATAGGTCTAGTCAACTGTAGATCTCAAACAGCCTAAGCTAGTCCAGTTTTATGCTAAATTTCAGAGCAAATTATTCTATACTTGATTCATTTTAATTTCAGAATTGTTATCCACAGCACACGAAGTAAAATTTCCATACTGAAACTGTGAAATTAAATAGTGGGTGTATATGTAAATGCAGCATTGAATCACATGAAGTTTGTGGGCGGGTTTATACACAGAATGGCTTATAGCATAGGTAGGCTTATACCGGAGTTAAATGAATACGTACTGTAGTAAGTTTAAACCAAATAAGCTAGAATATTATATTATTAGCTGTAAATTATGGAACCCACAGTTTACCAAAACTATTTCCCATGTTTGTTTTTCAAACTTATTGATTTTGACCAGATACATATATATCTGTCTCTTATACACATCTAGATGTGTATAAGAGACAGCTGTGCATGCGTGATAGGACTCACCACACGTAGCACTTCTCGTCGGTCAGGCTTTTTAGACCTGGTGTTGTTACTATTATTCAGATTGCATCTATGTGTCGAGGGCTATTAAGTACATAACATGTGTTTTTGGAAATATATATATAAAATAATATTCAAATACATAAAAAAATTAATTATGATTACATTGACAAGAAAATAAAGATAGTGATGATATTATGTGATATAATTGTTAAGAAAAATGTTCTAATTTGTTATGAAATGATAATGATAGTGATTGCTTAATGATGTGAGATTGGTGGTGGGTGGGGGTGGCAATGAGATATTATGATGATAATCATAAAGCAGATGATGATGATGAAGATTATGATGGTGATTATGAAAATGATAATGATGTTTGTGAATTGCCGATTTTTTTTTTATTTGTAATGTTTTTATCTTGTTTCGCCATGAATAAAATAAGATAAGTTTAAATGGCAGTGATGATGATATATGACAAAATTAATAAGAATAAATTAGATTAATTTGATTATATAACAACAATATATAAACAATGGTATTTATAATAATTTTCATATAACAATAACAATGATGAAATATATATGTATATCAATATGAGAGAAAACAAAGGCAATACAATAACAATAAAAACGAAATATTAATAACAAGAGAAAAAAAAAACAGGTCCACACAGGACAGATGTTATCCCTCTGGTAAATATTGTCATACAATGTCAGTTCTTTAATTACACAATAAACATAAAAAATATTTCATCATGTACAGCTAAGCTGAAGAACATAATGAGGTTTGTGTAGAACATCATATCCAAATATGGTAAATACCAAAGGTAACATATGCATGTTTAGACAGGTGTGAGAGCCCTCTTTCATATACTTCAATTTTATTTTTGTCATGATAAGATGGATTGAGGGGATTATCGCAACATTTGTAGAATGGGCTATGAGCTAAGGAGGAGAGAGGGCTATATGACCATAATCTTTCTGGTGTTTAATTTTACCCTCCAGAGGGCAGTATTATATTAGTTAGTTTGAGAGGAAAAATAGCCTCCACATCATAGAGGTATTGTGCAAATTGGAAATATTTTGTTGTGCATTTGTTTCAAATAAATAGCCAAAGAAATACTGTACACCCAGAAGTTTTAATTTTCTGTAAAACAATTAAATAAGTACACACATTGTTATTACAAGTTTAGATGTTACAGTAGCACTCTCTTATGTTCTCTGCTCTATCATTAAGCTTGCATTGCGAAATGTTTGCTGGTTGGATTTTTAGTCTTCATGATAGACAGTAAATCAATCAGGCTTCAAGTACAGTGCAGTCAACTTTTTAGTGTATTATCGTAGAGTAGTGTCCATGTATAACTTAAGCCTGGATTGTAATAAAGTGCACATACAATTTTTGGAGGAGAGGATTACATTTATCCATCTCTTTAAACCACAGCATTCATGTTATCCTTTTATAAACGGAATGTTATATATTGCAAATTTGGGTTCACTCATAGCTAGCTAATTTAATTCTGAAAAAAACTTTTACTGTCTCCATATTAGTTTACTTTAATCGTCAAAGATATATATATATATAATTTATATATATCTTCACATTTAAGTACATATAGCAACTATTATGTTCTGAAGTCAACGGTATTGTTTATTTACTTACCTTCCTTAGCATGTCTAATTGGGCGAACTCCTCCTGCATCTTTTGAGCTTCTCGTTTCAATGTATACCTTGGGTTAACAGAGTCCATACTAGATGGCTTTCCACTACTTAATGCTGAAAAATGAAATCAAAATTCAAGCTTCAATAAATAATAGTTATCAACAATAGTAAAAGTAAATAGAAGTTCATTTCACGTTAGTTGACAGAAATAATTGTATTTTTTACATTTTTTGGGTTATACACGATATGTTCTTTTGTGAATCGATCAGTTCATGTTCATTTGTTACCGTTTTGAATTTCAAAGAGCATATTGATTTAATAAAATCAAATCAAAAGCTGGGCTATATGAACCACTGCTAATAAATTATTACACTTCAAATTCTTCAGAGAGCAACATATTTCAATTTAAGCAATCTTATGCTTAAGTGCATTGACGACTTTATGCCTGAGAACATAAGAGACAGCATAAACATGATCCAGAGGAAATATTCTTCCATTAAAACCTAAGTAAGCCAAACATTCTTGAAGTACTGCACCTCTTATTACTAGGGATTCAAAAATGTTAATGAGCTTAAATGCCAGCTGAAAATGAATGTTTAATTAAATTTAATGTTTTCAATAATCCATTTTATACATTATAATTTGGCCTTTCTTAATGGTTTGGTGTAGTTATTCCTCTTTGTTTGCCATTAGAGACTTAATTAACATGAATGAGTAAATTTTAAGTTAAGTATTTTGGAAAATGTGTTTTATATAATTTTAACTTGGCATCCTTTGTGGTCCAGTATTTATTTGTAATAAAATAACTGATTATAAAGTGCTGAAATTAAAAAATTTTTTTAGCCTTCTTTGTGGTTTTAATGTACTTTTATACTTGAATTTGAATCATTTATGCGTCTCATTTAAACATGGTTGTATCTCATCTTATTGAGGTCCCTATGGAAAGCGGTGCTTACTCTAATTCAGGGGTTTGCCTTTGTTAAAGATGTGAACAAATCAATAACAACAATTGAGAGGCTTCAGTCACTAGGACAACGTGTAGGTTTACGCAATACCTTGAGTCGAGTGACAGCCCACTATCTATGAGTTTACCGGAAGTGCACCTGCTTCAACGGTATGATGTGCTCCTGACTTTAGTAAATAAAACATTAATCATATTACGACATATTGATATATTATCTTGCTCTCTAGTAGTTGCTATTTTTACTTGCTGGATATAAATCAAACCACCAAACAATCTGAGATTTCAAACCCTTGCCCTGTATCGCCTTATCTATGTACTAAAAAAATAATGGCATGACACTGTAGCTTTTCCCCAATATAATGAAAAATCCTTTAAGTATAAAAAAATAATCACATTCTACCTCTGATTAGCAATAAATTTGTGGCAAATGTATGTAGAATTGTCATCTATAGAAAACTAATTTGTTTTTGTATTTTATTATTAGACCAAATTTGACACACCCCCTACTCTGGTCGATCCACTCGAGTTGGCTTGGCCATAGGCAAACGAGGCCTAGCATCATAGAACTCGAGTGGCAAGCCTGCCAATTGGGCGAGTTTGCACGCTGGCCATACCGCTGCCAGAATTCAACACGTCTCCCTACTCTAGCCCGCGGTCAGTCGGCTTGCGTCGGCTCGGCCCATCCAAACGATCGCAAATATCATATAAACATTTGCATCTTACTTCCAATCAGCACAAGATTCGAGGAAGACCGAGCTACATGTAACTTTGTCAATATGGGAAAATTTGAAGTAAATCTGTCCAGTAAATTTTGAGTCATGCGCCTGGAAGGACAAACACACACACACGAACGCGCGCTATTGCAATACCCTTCTCGCACTAAGAAGAGGCAAAGGTAAACAAGCTACTCACAAGATCGTGGTTTGAGAGCTGCCAGTCCAGTACCTGAAGGATACGATTTAGATGTTGAATTCATGCTGCTGCTGCTGCTTCCTGAGCTGCTGCCATTGTACTTGCTCTTAGGCTTTTCATCTACACTGCCGGGTGAACGATTCTGGATATTAAGAGATATACAGACATTAGTTAACACGTTAGTCAAGTTAATCTTTTTTTGCAGATAAAATATATTATTTTAAGTACTGCATTCACAAATCAGACAAAATATTTGTAACAAATTTTAAGATTGCAACACCATATCGTTAACATCATCTTCGTCATCAACAAAGCCGCCATCTTAATCATTGTATACAACATCCCTATTCACATCATCTGGCCATCTTTCTCATCAGATTCATTTTAATTCACATTCTCAATCTCATCCACATCTTTGTAGTCCTCATCACTCACATCCTCGTGATCTTCATAATCCCTATTATTATCATCAATCCCATTCTAAACTTAAGCATCAGAACTAACCTTTCACAATCATAGACATTACCATTATATACACATAAACATTTGGTTATGGGTTAAAATACAAGTGTAGTTAAAAAATTGTAGTAAAGATCTGAATTAAAATTGAAGTTTCATAACAAATTTTAAGATTGTATCACCAAAAAAATAAAGTAAAGTAAATAAATAAATATATTTATAATTTTCCCACAATTATTATAATATTCTGAACGGTACTCATAACCAAATTATTTATATGGCTTAGAGGGACTGAGGGGGGGGGGGGCACCCAAACTTTGATTTTCCAGTGTGCTTCCAAAAACTTTCATGGACTGCTTTTATACCACTTTATGTTCAGTTCTACTTTTACAGATGATCGGTGTCGAGCCATAAAAAATCCAAGGTTCGCTTCAAATTTAGGGACTTCAAATTAAGGTCCAGTGTACACATCTGGCTTGTGTGCACTTTAAAGAACAAACTGCATTTTTTGGAAAAGCAGGGGGTTACCCAAATGCTATGGTTCATTTCAGCCCCTGTCATTGTGGAATGATGTTAACATGTAGTTACTATAAGCACCTCTTTTCGTTGGCTAGGTAGTCACGGAACACGCCCATATGCAATTCAACACAATTACGCTGCAAGTTATGGGTTATTCTCCGACTTTGGACTGGCATTTCAGGCAATGTTTTTTACTATTGTTTTTCAATCAATAAACATTTATGTACTGTACCTTTACATAAGACGCAACAGCAGACTTTTGTGTTTGTTTTGTCTTCGCTTTAGCTTCTTCAAGACGTCGCCGTGCCAACTGTGCCTCATGGCGATCCTTTGATATAATGTTTTCTCTCCGTTTTGCCCGGTCTTCCTCCGTCGTTTTTGTGGGAACAGTTCTGCCATTAACCAAACTTCCATTTCCACTACACAAGAAAGAAGGGAATTGATTGGTTTGAAAAGAAATAACGGCCTGTATCGACATTGGTAACACCGTTACCATGATCGTTCCTATTGGCATCGCCATCATCTCCTTAACGTCACTGCAGTAGTCAGTCACACTATCATTTCATAGTAGTTTGTCCAATGATAGGTACCAAGCTAATCGTAAACCATTGTATCATTGTCAATAGAAGTACTGTATCATCATATTATTATCATCATCTTCATCATCAACATATCTGCCATCATAATTATCAACATCCCAATTATCTCATCACCATCACCATCATCTAATCATTAATCCACATTGTCATCGACAGTTTGTCATTCATCATCAACCACATCGTCGTCATCTTTATAGTTGTCATTAGGCAACATAATCACCAACATATCCCTATTATCATCATCAATCCCTTTTTCCTTGTGTTACCAATTACATTCTAAATTGAAGAACTCATCTTATACCATCCCACAATAATAGAGAATACATTCACATACAAACATTTCCAGGTTTAAGGATTGCAGAGTTTTGGTTAAGGTTTACAATAGAAGGGTTAGTTGTTAAAAATTGGTAGGTAAGATCTGAATTAAAGTTATTTCAAATTAGAAGTAAATCAAATATCAAGTAAAAAGTTATAATTAGGTTATAACTCTTCTTATTATAAATTTCCAAAATGGTTTTGTTAAAATGAATTAAAAAAAAATCATATATTCATAGAATTGTTAATTTGCTGCAATAATCTTTCACTGCTATCTCTGTTTCTTTCTCCTTTACCATCCACTATCCCCCACCAGCACTCGCTCCTCTCCTTCTCTCTGTTATATTAAACATCTTACCTTCAATATTAAAATTCAAACAAAAATCAATCTCTAATATAACAAATTAACATGCCACAAATGAAAATTCAAGCAAATGCTACAATACAAAAGCATAAGCAACATGCGAAAATGAATGATTACAACAATGATGAGAATAAAACAAATTTAATTAAACAAAATAACAAAAATACCAAAAAAAAAAACAAAAAACAAACCAATTCCAAAAATGCAAACCATATACACTAACTTTGTTGAAGATCTTCTCTTAGAAGGAGTTGCCGGTGGGGTCCTCGGTGGGGTCATCGGTGGAATACGCTTTATTTCAATATTCTCACCAGCTATTGTTGCCCTGCGTTTTTCTCGTTTGGATTGACTACGATGAGAACCACATTATTAATGAAAACAAAGCACTATTAAAAGATATACTGTTTGTGGTGAGCTAGAAAACTAGCTAGATATAATCAAATATTTTAAATTGCATTTTTTGCATAGGTCTAATTAGCTTAATAAAAATATTTATATTTTAATTCAGTACTCTATACCATTAAATCTCAGAGCGCTTCTCCAGATTATAACCCCACTCATTGGAACGATGCCTATAGAGGGAGTATTCCATGGTTTGCTGCATGAAATACATCAGAGCTTTTTACACTCAAACCTCATCAGGTACTGGTACCCACTTATACTCTTAGGTGGAGAGAGACAACCTAGATAAAGTGCCTTGCATAAGGACACAAGTGACTTGCACAGTGGTATACCGTAGCGCCAAATGCTTATTTTCCTCACCCATTAACAAAAGCCTACAGTGCATTATTTTTTAATAGAACCTTCATTTGGACTACAATTCATAAAGCATCTTTTAAGTTAGAAAGTTGGTATCAATCAATGAAAAATGGACAATGGACATGCATGTCTAATGAACTTTTCCAGGTGTCAAACTTAAAAAATTACCTATCAGAATAGAGCCAGAAATATGTTCATGTCCCACAAACATGTGCTTATGTACATTTACGCTATCATTTTGTGGTATCTTAAGCCGGGCAATTACTGTGTCTGACGCGATTCTATGAAGAATGCAACTAGACGATGCACGGTTAACGGACCGTTTTTAATGACAATCCGTTCAGACTCCCACTAATCAGCAGATAGTGTCGCGTCATCTAGCGCTCACAGGAGAGTGGAGTTGGATTCGTTGTGCGACGGCCATATGACTCAGTGCCTGGCTTTAGCAACAATATCCAAACGGTGGGACTTTGTAGTTTGATTTGCCTGAGCAATTCAATATTCTAATTCTATTTTTGTGGCTCTTCTTGAGATATCATCACAGACAGTATATCTTATAAATAAAGCGCTGCTGTACCATTGTTGTTCCCATCACAGGCAAGCGTGATACACAATGCTTCACAACAACACATATAACCAGCAATTTATGTAAATGAAGTACATGAAAGTATAAGGAAAACATGAAATTGATTCAATAGGAATAATGCTTAGCCCTACTTGACGTGTAATTGTACTGATATTGCTCAGTACGTTCACAAATACTTGTGAAAAACGTTTGGAACGTACTGAGCATTCAGTATGATAATACATCTGGTAGGTCGTAACATCATTCCTATTAAATCAATTATGTTATGACTGTAGGTATAATTATTAGATTCATTTTACCATTATTAATATTTTTATTGTTGTAGTTATTAGCTGTCTCTTATACACATCTATAAACAGGCAGTTGTAAGTACAGCAATAACATGAGTTAAACCCAATAATTTAGCATTAAATGTTATTGAATCATTTAGCCAATAAGCTACTGGGCCAAAGCCTTCAATTATTAAGTTGGCCCATTAAGAAGAAGAGAAGAAGAATATAAAGCGTCAAGCCAAAAAATTCCAATTTTGTTTTGATTATATCGATCCTAATACCAATTACTAAATTTGTTTTAAATGTTTGTTTAAATTATTGTTCCTTTATGTTCTATAAACCATGTATAAAGCTCTATCCAGGCTATCATGATTTATATTTTTATTTTATTGTTATTATTTTATTGTTATTTGCATTTTCTCAGTTGGCCTATATTATTTCTCAGTAAAGCGCATAGGGGCAATGTGCAATATGCGCTATATAAATGTAACATTATTATTATTATTATGAGAAATACTAGTGTTTAGCCCATATAGGAGTGTGATATACCATCATTATGCCTATGGAAGTGACATGATATCCTGTGTCCATATATGAATATGGCATGACATTTTCATGTCCATATATGGATGAAATATCATCATGTCCATATATGGTATGATATGTCATCATGTCCATATGGGTGTGACATGACATTATCATGTCCATACATGGATGTGACATGACATTATCATGACCATATATGGGTGTGACATATCGTCATATAGATATATGGGTGCAACATGACATTATCATGTGAATATATGGGTGTGACATGATATCATGTCCATATATGGGTGTGAAATGACATCATCATGTTCATATATGGGCAAATCACATCAATCTATCACATAATACTCAGTGAGAATAGTGTGAAGAGAGCTTTAGGCTATCTTGTTTTAAAAGAATGGAATTCTTACAGTTCAACCATTAAGAAAGAGAATTTCCATGAAATTGCATACACCTTGCAGGCAATCTGATAGAAAATTCCAGGATGGAGTGTTGGATCACATCTAATGCCACATGTTCAACTTATTTGGCAGATAAAAAATATATGGGCTCACATATAACCATCACATGGCTAGATGGGACAACCACTTATATTAGTGACATACAAATATTAGTGACATGTATCACATGGAGAAAGGTTTAATAAATGTGAAGTTTGCTAATAGATGTGTTTGATGATTTACAATCATATAGAATGAAAAACAAATAACACATAAGCTTCACCAAAATGCACACAAAAGACACAAGAAACCAAATCACACTCGGACGTACGTGTTAAGAGAGGTTGGCCGCCGGGTTCTATCATTAAATGAAGAAGTGGTAAGTGGTCTTCTAATGTAAGAAACGGCAAGGCCATGTAAAACAAAAATAAAAGACAAAGAAAATTGGAAGAAAATGAAATATAAATCAAACAAAATTCAATGAAAATAAATAGAATTTCAAAAAAATTAACAAAATATTAAAGGGTTTATAAATTTTTAATACAAAATAATAAACAGATTCCAAAATTAAATGAAACAAAGTAACAATATCAGTAAACAAAAGTAATATCATATAATTTATGGATGTAAACAAAATTTCATCAAAAAGGAAAACAGGAGTGTTGATTTAGCAATATTTGTGTAAAAATTTGGACCACATTTATTTTCATGTCAAGATTCATAACTCTGTTGTTTTCTTCTATAAGGCACCTCAAACATTCCAATAGTAATATCTATATTTATCATCAAATTATTAATAACTTATACTTTAGAATTATATTTGAAATACTATTTTTAGGTTTGGTCTTAACCATAATATTCTTGTAATGCATAATTGGAATCCTTTTTTTCTATTATGAAAGTTTCTATACCACAATTTAAAAAACAAAAGCTGATATTTTAATAGAATTTTATTTCGAATTTGGTATGCTTTCTATATGTTTTAAAAACTAGAATGAAAATGGACTTGTTTGACTGCTAACTATAAAAAAACATTAGATCAATATTTTGAGGATGGTGGAGTGATTAACTGACAATATCATAGTGAGTATATTACATATTCTAAATGGTGTTTTCCATCAGGTGATTCAATAGGAATAATGCTTAGCCCTACTTGACGTGTAATTGTACTGATATTGCTCAGTACGTTCACAAATACTTGTGAAAAACGTTTGGAACGTACTGAGCATTCAGTATGATAATACATCTGGTAGGTCGTAACATCATTCCTATTAAATCAATTATGTTATGACTGTAGGTATAATTATTAGATTCATTTTACCATTATTAATATTTTTATTGTTGTAGTTATTAGTACCAACATTTTATCATGATAATAGAGAGCTTTCTATTGAATGGTGATGAAGTGACGCCAAGTCCACTATATTGGTTATATTTTTACTATTACGGTTATATTTCTACTATTGCCACCACCATTGTCATGATCACTTCAATATTAGTTACATTTATTATGTACAATTTGTTACTTTTAATATAGCATTATTTAATGTTACTGTACGAAGAAGAGACAAGCTATATACGCTTTGTCTCTTTGCATTATATATTATTCCTGATGATGCTTAAATAAAAGCAAAACATAAAATATAATGGCCTTTTCAATTTTTGGAGTGACATTCATAATATATGTTACTGCGTATATCATTAAAAACAATATAAATATATAGCAATATAAATATATAGAATATATGTGTTTTGCAGAAGAGTGCACACCTTCTAATTTTTAGGTTGTAAGTTCAAATTTTTAACAATGAAGGATTGTCTTTGAAAGTTTTTACTTCTGAGAATTCTGATGAATTTAGGAGCAAAGTAATGATGATGAGTATGACACCAGTGAGCAAGATGATGATGATGGTGAGGATGATAATGATGAAGATGATGATAATACTGTTGATGATGATGATGATGGTGGTGGTGAGGATGATGGATGGGTTGATGATGATGATATTTATGATGATACTGATAAGGGCAATTATGAAGTGCTATAATTTGTATACAATATAATATGTAAATAAAATATGTGATATATATGACATAATAGTTAATGTGATGAATCTGTATATAATAAATTCTTTCATCCTATTAGAAGCAAAGTACTATAAGCTGAGCTAAAAGATGGAAAACAAACCTTGTGTTCTTTAAGCGCTCTGAAGACGATTGTCTCTGCATGATCCTTTGCTGTTCCTCTTGGATTTTCTTTGCTGCCTTCCTCCTCTCTTCTTTCTCCTGTTCCTCTGCTTCATCCTTCTCCTTCTGTAACCTCCTCTTTTCTTCCTCTGCCTCCATCTCCTGTCGTTTCAATTCATGCCTCCTCTGTTGTTCTTCCAATTGTCGTTTCTCCTCTTGTAGTCGTCGTTGCTCCTCTTCGAAACGCATCTGCTTTTCCTCCAAACGCCTCTGCTCTTCCCTCCTTTCTTGTTCTTCAATCAATCTATTGTTCTCTTCCTTTTCTTGTTGAATTCGTTGTTGTTCTACTTGTTTAAGTTTTAAACTCAGCTGTTCAGCTTGTAACATTTCCTTTTTCAAACGTTCAATATCTGGAGGCCTGTCCTCCTCATAGTCTAGTCCACCTAATAACTGTGTAAAAATAAAATTACAATAAAGTAATGAAAAAAACAATATTACAATATACTGACCTTTGACCTTAAGCCCACAAATAACTTATCAGTAATTTTTTACAAAAACCTTTTACTTGGTTTTATCCACAGGTTCAAATTTTCTTTGACAAAAAACTGATGTATATTAGGATGTGCATGTGACATCATCATGACCGTATTTAGGCATATCACATTTTTTTTTTGTCAAATAAAATTTGATAGTCTGGACATGGCTTAAGATTACGTACAACAAATTCTATAATCATTCGTTCTTGAGATAAAATTTTTTAATTAGGTAATTGTAAACCAAAAATAAAATATATTCCATTGAAATTTAATAAATATCTAGCAATAAGCATTTAGAAAATTTGTTGCATGCAGATAGCAAAATTATAAAGGGCTTATGTCATGCACATTTTAGTATTAACTTAACTTTGAAATCAAGTTAGTTTAAGTTTGTTGAATGTGTAATTATGAATTTTATGTAATAAAGCTCTATCAAATTTTATGTGACAAATGACAAATCACACATATTTGTCACATAAAACTTTTGTGTGGAGAGAGTGCAATATTTCACTACTAATAGATTAAGATATTTTCTTTTGGAAATAAAGTAGAAAAAATTATTGTAGAAAAAGCTTGTACTTCAGATATACAATCATGGACCCTGTCTAGGGCTTAGCACACTTGTATTTTCTGGTGTCTGGCAAGAGCCTAGCTGGTAATTTTGAGTTGTAACTATATTGGCCAGCATCACTTTACACCATGACTTGCATAAACCTAACTATTTAAACTCAACCCAATTTTGTGTTTAAGGGAGATGAATACATTAAATAATAATTAAGTACTTTAAATCCCACTCCTGTAAACTTTCTGTTACTGACTGGAGTAAGTTTGGGATGGAAAATATATCACCAACATACAGCTCATCCAGTTAGGGCTCTTTCTTGGCACTGTCATTGAGTCACTTGCATGTACAAATGTCATGTCTATGTATAGTGGTGACAAGTACCTTGTAGTTAAACTTTCCGTACAAAAAAAGATTGTGAATGTTGCTACAGTACATTAGGCCTAAAATGTAACTTTTGGTTAAAATGGCATCCGCGAAAATATCAACACATGAAAATGTCAAGAAAGTTGGAAATCGCAAAAAATAACAACATATACAGTAATTAGTAATGTAATAAAAAAATTTAATTAAATAACTTTACCATTGAAAAATCAACATCATCTGGGGGGTGAATCTGCGTTGGAGTTATATCACCATCAGATCCGTCTACCTCGTCCGAATCAATAAAGCCATTATCTTTTGGGATCACAATTGCTGAAGGACGTGCTAAGTTACCTCGACGATGCCGTTGATTCTCCGCTCGTTTGATGATGTAATTGTCATTCTGGTTCTAGAAGTAAACAATACACAAATTCAATGACAGTTTTATCAAAACAAGCATGGACCACATTGGGGTCCTAAGTTGGAAGAAGCGGCTTTCGTGAGATCTGTTGAAATCTTAACACATCTAATTTTTTTATGCTGTGCATGGCGATACCCAACGGTACTGACTACCGGGAGGTGATTGATAATTTAGTAAAAACATGCAAATATCATGAATTTGCGGGAGATAGGTAAATTTTCGAGAGATTCTTGCTTGATTGTAGGAGAGCGGTAGAATTTCCCGATTCCAGGATTATTATGGATGATAATACCCATCGGCACTGACTTCCGGAAGCTAATTGATAATTTAGTAAAAACACGCAAATATCATGAATTTGCAGGAAATTCCCAAGAGATTTTTGCTTGATCGTAAGAGTGCGGTAGAATTTTCCGATTTTCGGGGAGACTCATAGGACTTGCAAAAATCTGTTTTATGCCCATATATAGTCATGATGGTCCTATATATGGGCATGATGTGATGTCAAATCAAATTTGATAGTCTAGACAGGGTTTAACAGTGAGTGACTTACTAGGTGGTCTAATTCGAAGCTTAAGGAGTAGTTTTTGGCATGATTTGAACCTTCATACTGAATTTCTAGCATTTTAACAGCCAAGAGCAGGCTCCACTGCAAACACTTTTTAAGTTTAAATGTGAATTTGAGTTTATTGTCTAATTTTATTAATGTATTTGTAATTTTTGTGATTGTGATGCAATTGTTATTACAATATTATCGTTATTTTATTATTTGGTGCTTTTTCAACTGTGCAAAATTTAATTTAAGTATATTCTACCAACTGTTATTGGAAGATTTAATATCTATTAGTTGGTTTAGTAATTTAAAATGAAAGAAACACATTTGACAGTGTAATTCCAAATGGTTTACCTCTGAAGGCCATCGTTTGTCGCCATCTACATAACCTGAATCAGTGATTCCGTGCGCTCTACGTAGTTCTCCCGGTTTCCCATTGAAATATGAAAACTGGTCTACCGTACTAAAATGAAAAGTAAAAAAAAAAAATTTACCATGGTTAATTTAAAATCATATACTCAATCGTTTAACTTTTATTGAAGTCTTCTGGAAACATTTTATTGGAATTTTTGACTCAAAAAATCCTAAGAAGCATAAACTATCCACTCATTATCAAGTTTTCGAGTTTTTATGCAATTCATATCACCAATATTTTGTTATTAATGACATAAGATTGCTGGCGTAAATTCTTACTCGGGTATAACCCTAACGCCTTGGAGGTGGGCTAATACCCAGAAACTAAAAATTTTGCTACATTCTAAACTTTATTAATGACAATTTATTCAATTAATATCACAGGCACAAACTATATAATTACCAATTACCAATTGAAATTTACTAGTGGAGAATTTAGCATGAAAGTTAGGAAAGGGCATTTATGCCATGGAAATTCAGCAGTACCACAGCATGTCTGGGAGAGTTTGCACTGATTGGATTTTATACCGAGAGACAAACACCTACTCTTAAATCAGATAAATGGTGATTAGTGTGAACAGAAGGACTGTAACAGAATATCATACATGGGGCCAACAGCTTGAATGTCTCTTTTAAAAGACGGTGCACAAAAGCCAAACTGTACTTCAACCCTCGAGCTAAAACACAAGATGTGTACACATAGTAGCTACAACCAATTCAACCAACAGGGATATGCTCATCGGTTTAATCATTATGAACACATTAATATTTAATATCATAATAAATCACTAAAATCCACTTATAATATTCTGGAAGTAACTTTAGGAAGACATTGAATAAGTCCTATATCATAAAATATCCTGTCTTTAGTGCATGTATTTATAAGCTAAATTAAAATGGAAATACAGAATGTAGAATCACTATAGGCATATAAATGAATATAAGAGTTCACTGCGCAAGACATAAAGATACACTAGAAGAAATGCATAAACAAATTGATGATGACAACGATGACGATGATAATAAATATGTAGCAAATAATGATGATAATGATGATGAAATACTCTTTTTTTTCACTCCCAAGAGGTCCATGATATGACAATGATGATGATTGATGACTACTAACCTAGCTACATAATTGGCCAATGTAATTGTAGACTTCAGGTCTCTGTTTCCCTCACCTATCTAACACCAGCCAACCAGTAACAATTTGCTAATAGATACAAGCTAGCTTACCTTTGATGCCTAGACTGCCAGTCCTCCTCAATGGCTTTTTTCCTGCCTTCTTCTTTATGTGCTTCATTTGCTAAGAATTTGAAGATGTGTATCCTACCTCTCATGCATATCTGAAATTCAAGAACATGTGTTTTTTACATTTAGTAGCAGGCATCCAAATGCAGCATACGGTATGAACAGAGCTGTAGGTCACAATCAACATTCAACGGCATACATAGGAGTCTTTAAATGGGGAGGGGGAGAGGGAGAGGGGCGGGGATTGAGGGGCGCTGTACCTGTCTCTTATACACCGCGAAGGTGAAGTGTTTGATGATTATGTAAGGGGGAACTAATTTTCAAATTAGGTGATACAAGGGGATTCTGACCTACTTGAGTGTGATTTTCTTTGCTTTGAACATTTTGAAATGGGGAAGGGGAGGAAGCAAGTGTTTCAGGTTTTTGTTTTTGGGATATGGGGTATTGGGGGGGGGGGGGGGTGCACTCCCCGCGTTTCCCTAGATATACCACTTTCAACATTATAGGGTTTGGGATTATTAAGTCAAGCATCTTAACCTGCAGGCTACAGATCCACTCAATCAACATTTCAGGATATGAACCAAAGACTCTGGGGTTGGATGGTAAGTACCTTAAACACCAAACTACAACTCAGTATTCTACCAATTGAAACATTTTTACTGGTAAATTTGTAAATAAAAATTTAGCTACTCGCGCAATGTGAGGTGCTACCCCTTTTTGAGTGGGGTTTAATGACTTGATGAAATAACACATAGTCAGCCTAGACTACCTACGCCTAATCAGTGGGTATTTTATTTTTAAAAACACAAAATCTTTACCAGTTGGCCGGTTATTTTCACCGGTAAAATTAACAGCTAAAACTGCTTCGGGAGAACTCAATCACATGGAATGATCTGGCAAAATCACAGGTTCTGAAATATGTTTTAATTAACCCCATCAAAAAGTCACCGTATCAAAATACAAAAATAAAATATTAATTAAAAACTGGATGACCTTCTTTTACTGACATTTTAGATCTGGACAGTCTTGTGGTTGTTAAACTGAAGTTGAAAGTTGAGTTTTGAAAGTATTTACAGCTCTAGAGGCAATGATGAGCACCAGACCAGCATGATGTACATTGGATCCACTTTTAAAAGACAGGCCAGCTTAAATAATGCAAAGGACATCCTCCACTAATGATTCTTGGCAGCCAAGCCTGCTTACTCAAACGACTGCAATCATTCATCAAAAAGACTCATCTTCGATGAGACTTTAGAATATCTATTCCTAGGTCCTGAGTAAACAACTCTGAAATACTGACACCCCTGGGCAATATTTGTTGCTGCCCTGGGGATAAATACATAGGATGCTGCATGCTTACCTGTGGTGATGGAGACACTAATGGGTTGTGATCGAGTATAAGTTTTTCAAGTGTATGAATTTTCCGATAGCAGGAAGGGATGTGGGTAATTTTGTTACATGATATATCCAGCACGTTCAGTTTTAATTTACTTAATTCTGTAAAGACAAAGAAAATATTTAGCATGATATGATAATATGGAAATGTAAGGTCCAATAAAATTTAGATCGATGCTAAATAATAAAAATAAAACTTCTAACTACTAATCTACCATTATAACATTTATATTCTTTATAATTATATAATAATTAATACTAATAACAATATAATTTTTAAAAATATTGACTAAAGATCAGATAAGTTACATCACCTTTCAATGTTTTTACTAAAACAATCATTACATTAATAGTGTACCAACCTACAGTAGTAATTTGAATATTGAAACTTTATTATTTCAATTTCAAAACCTCCATGAAAAGGCGAGATAAAATACATATAAACATTCACTTAAATAACAACACATCCGTAATATCACAAAACACATAAAAAACATATGAAAATCAAACTACTAAAGTTTGATCTAATAGTAAAACATTTCACTTAAAATTTTTTTTTTGTATAAACTAGACTAAAACTTAACTCTTAAAAATTATTTATGCATGAGTTAACAGGTGAGAGAAATACTTTCTTGTTATAACTTTCAATTGAATCCAATTACTTACTTAAACATGATTTAAATACAGAATTTTATTGTTAAGTTTAGCACAGACTATATATACATAATAGATTTTAACCCAATAGATACAAAAAGTAGGTTGCAGAGTATTTATTGAAACATAAACTGATCTGATCAGACAAGCTGGTAGTGTTTTTAATTGGTTTCAAAGTGCTTAGTGCTGAATCACGCACAAAAGGATGTTTGTGTTTGTTTGTTCGTGCACACAAGTTCCTGGTTCAAGGAAGCGGAAGGCAGATACTGTATTTATGTCCCATGTGATAGAGGATGTTGAAATATTCTCTGGATTTCAATTTCATATATAATTAATTACCTATTGAAACTTAAAATGGCACGTATAAATTTCAAATATGGTGGACATAGAAGTGTACTAATTGCTAAAAACAATCTCTCTTCCTCTATGGACTGATCCACTCAGAGTGATTATTCTCCCTCTGCAGACGCCATTAGTTGGGGCTTCCGGTGGGGGATTCTTAAGCATCATCAAAATCCGACCTATCCACAGTGATCATTCTCCCTCTGCAGACGCCATTAGTTGGGGCTTCCGGTGGGGGATTCTTAAGCATCATCAGCATCTGACCCATCCACAGTGATCATTCTCCCTCTGCAGACGCCATTAGTTGGGGCTTCCGGTGGGGATTCTTAAGCATCATCAGCATCTGACCCATCCACAATGATCATTCTCCCTCTGCAGACGCCATTAGTTGGGGCTTCCGGTGGGGGATTCTTAAGAATCATCAGCATTCTGCCCATTCACAGTGATCATATGCTGGGCCTTCCGGCGCGGATTCTTAAGCATCATCTGATACATGTAAATACTGGAATTATTGTTATGTACAGTACCGTAAAACTCGAATTGAAGTCCTGGGCTTCTTTTTTGCGAATTTTGGATGGGCTTCTTTTCGAAATGGGCTACTTTTCGAGATGGGCTACTTTTCGAGATGGGCTACTTTTTGAGGTGGGCTTCTTTTCGAGAGCACTTTTGCAAAGTAAAGAGGGGGAGGGGAGCTTCTTTTCAAAATGAATGCTGTAAATTTTGTGAATTTGTACAATTAAACAATAAATAAGGTCATTGTAACATCAATCTATATTAAGGAGTGTATTTAACTGGCATTAAATCACCTAAACTAATGTATTAACCAAGCTTGTTTTTAATTAATTTGTTTTCTAAAATTCATGCAGAGTGTACGTATTCGAACAGAAGCCTACCCTGTATGCTTTTTTGAAATGAAGTTTCCCATTCTATCCATCCTTTTATAAATTTTTGTTTCTTCTTCTAACTGAAACCAAATTTCTTCAGTATCACCTAATACCTCTTCATACAGTATGTTTTTCAGTCCAACTAACCTTCTGCATTCTTCTCATACCATTGTACAACATGAAGATAGGAACCATATTCTTCATTGGTTATATCGCCCAAGGTTTATCTAGTTAAATATAGTTTCTTCACGTGGAATTGCTAAATCTTATCATTATTCTTTATTACTTACTTAATTACATTCAATTCAAATAGTTGTGCTAAATTTTGTTGGTGTCAGAACTGCCTCTGCTGATAATTTAATAATACAGTACTAATATTCACCAACATACAGTAATCATCACGATACCTAACACAATGTAAATATATCTAACAATAGCCTATATCTAACAATAGCCATACTACCTAACCAGTTCTTCTTTCTAGTCCTATCATCATTTATGAGGTTTGTCATTCAGACAAAAGAATTCCATTACAGTTTCAATGAACATTTCAGTTGTTTTTTCGCTTTATTTCCATGTATAATAAAAGTGAAGCCTAGTAAACACTACCTTAACAGTTCCTCTTCTTATCAATTATCATCCTAATTATTCCAACAATTGAATATTTGTGGTATATAGAGCAAACATTTAACATTGTGATACAAGAACACAAATTCCTAAACTTACAAAAGTAGGGCAGATAAATACAAACATTAGTTATTAATTCTTTAAAACTGCAATCACTTGGGACTTCGACTGTTTGTGGAAAGGACTCCATAGAGTGCATACCTTCGCCCTGTGTCAAACAATACACAAGCCATGTATACTGTAGGTGATTCCATTATTTTCTTTTATGCTTGTAGGTAAGTTCAAGTTAAAAAAAAATATGTGACTTTGACCTTTGATTACTAAAATTAAATAATCTCTTTTATATTTATTTATTTATTCTTTCTTGGATAGCATTGTCAGTAGTGCAGTACTGCTTTTCAAAATGGTCCAGTTTTCTTAACAAAGTAATAAATAACAGAAGTAAAATTTTGAACAGAACAAAAATAAGCCACAGGATTTCAAATTTCATGGGAAACTACTTCTGGTTTCCGTGCCCTGTGATCATGGCAAACTATCGGAAACTGCTTTTAGTGTTCATGGAAAAGTCAAATTTTCACCTATACGCATGCGCAGTTTAATTTTCATCACAATATTATTAAATGCACAAGCGTATTGGTAAAATTTCTTGATTCGCGCGAATAAATTCATCTAGTGGAAAACGGCCTTCTTTAGGCCTAGACTTAGGTTTGGGCTTAGGCTTAGACAAAATTGACCATTACAAAACATTTGGAAAAATAAAATTAACTTTAACGCCCGTTAATAAATAACAAAATAAATCATTTAATCAATCAACGCAAAAACATTGTCGACAAGGATAAAAATGTTTATTATTTATATTATCAACCTGCAGCGGAGGTGAAGTCGAGACTGTTGACAGCGGTGATGGTCATCAAAATCAAGATCAACGATCATAAACCACTTACTTGTGTTTCAATTGGTCTCCACTACTAAAATCACCACTGAAATACCAATTTTGAAAGTTTTAAGCGAAACATTCCCTCCTGAGGTCGTGGTCTTTCTTTTTTGGGAGGAGCCATTTAGGTAATTAAATATTAAGTTATGTGGTGTTTCAAACTGTCGTCGCATTCATGGGTAATTCCATTCTATTGAAGACGTCTAAAAAAGACTACTATTACTAGTAGAGCAGGCAGTAGAGAGGGCGCGATCTTTTGTTATGCTTTTTTTTTCATTCTAGTGCTGACGCCATTTTTTCACGATACGATCGGATCGAAGACCTCTGTCCATGATAGACCTATGATTTGCCGTTCAGAATTAAAATTATTTGGCTAACACTTTTCCACTGAATTTATGATTGTGGTGAGTGTTTGAGACTTGAAAAATGATTTTTTGTTTTTTTCGTGACTTGCTGGTCAAGGTAGCCACACGGTAGCGGAAACGATGATCCATTCCTTAGCTTTTGTGTAATCTTGCTAACAGACAGACAATGGTGAATACATAACCTTCTTTGATGGAGGTTGTACAGCAAAGTACAAATTTCAGACTTTTAAAATAAAACTAAATACAGGAATACAAATTACGAACTATTAACATATTAATACTATAAAACTTTCTGCCAAAATTTTACATTCTAGATTACAGTTTTTATTTATTGTATTGTCTAACATTGCTCTACAGTTAATATATTCTTAAAATAGTGAATGTCTGAAATAAAAAAATGTATCATTATATATGTTTTTTAATGTATTCAAATTCAACGGACCATCAATGACCAGAAATGCATACCATTCATTTCATATATACCATCTCCTCAGGGCAATTTTTATCTTATATTGATAGACAATTTATGAGATGAATGGATTATGATTTACATTAACAAATAACGGTGGAAAAAATATGAAATGATTAGAGTAACAGTTGACATAATCTTACCCTCGGGAAGATTGACTAGACGGTTGTGACGGACGTTCAAATGCCTTAGCGATTTTAAGTTTGCTATACTGGATGGGAGTGTCGATATCTCATTACAACTTGCATCCTACAAGGGGAAAATGGATAAGATTAAAGAAAGGGAACATATTAAATATGTAAATTGACCATCATAACATAAATTTGAATGCATATTATATAAACACATTGGATAATGGCACTAAGGTTTTATTCTGAACAGCTGAAAGATATAAGTATGCACAAGGTCAAACCCAATGGCAACAAAGGGTTAAGGTTTAAGGGGCAAAGGGCAATCAATGCCTAGCAGATTTGTAAATTTTGATATGTCAGTTTTTGGTTCCTATTAAGAAATAGGAACCAATGCAATCCAAGTGGTGTACAGTATACAAATGCATACCTACAGATTTATGTCATGCTGATGTCATCAGAGTTTGTAAACAGGCAAATCAAACACTTGTACTTATAAATTTGTGTATACTGTACATGTATCAAAAGTCCAGTAGGTGTGTTCTACTGTTTGAAAACATTTTTGGATAAACATAATATATCAGTATATTGTGACATTATACACCCCCCTATCCCTCCACCCAAGACCCAGAAATCTACTACTGGATTAATAGAAAAACCAATGCATAAGACTCAGAGGATCCACTAATTAGTCTTAAATAAAACAAAAAGACACTAACTCCGAAAAGAGATAGTGCATATGCTTCCCACAAAAAAAAACAAAAAAAAATGTGTAAGTACTACCGTTGTGGTTTGCCAAAAATTTAGTTTTTCTTCAAGTTGGAATGGATCCACCAGAGAGTGGTTTATCTTTACATTAATATCAAGGTCATTGAGCCAAAAATCCACAGAACACTTTACTCAGCTTCCTGGGGAAGTATTCTATAATATTGCAACTAAGTCTTATTGGAATCCCAAATATTAGGTTACAGGTAGCAATTAACCCATAACTAGCAATGTCACTGCTTGGTGACTAGCTAAGAAAGGTACTGAATGGTCCACAATGACAGTGTTTGAAGTGAACCCGAGGAACAGGATAGCCTACAACTTTTCTAAAAGATGCACAGGGTTCCCTAGAGTACTCATAAGCAACATACACAGGTTATTTCACCTGAAAATACTTGGGTTCTACAAACTGAGCCACCAGCAAGAAGGGACCTGAACCAGAGCCAATGTTAAGGCATCCAGTGGTGTATCTGGAGGGGGTGGGAGAAGGGGAAGGGAAAAGTGTGGGGGTAAAAAATTACGCTCAACTACTTAAAAATTTACCTCAGGTTGTGAGCTACTTCGCAACTCTTAATCATTGAGCTCCCACTTCACCTTTGCACCCCTCTCCCCAACTTCGCCTTGGCACCCCACTCCAATCAGCTCCCCATCCCACATTTCAAGACCAATAGATACACCATTAGGCATAGCTTGCAGTGCCCCGCTTTACTGCTTGAACACACAACTTGCTTAAAGTTATTACAAAAACATTTTTTTCTTACCAAATTTGATAGTTCACTTAGTTGTCCAATATGCTCCGGCAATGAAACAAGTTTATTATTGCTAACGTTTAAAACTTCTAAGAACAATTCGCATAATCCACTTGGTAAAATTGTCAGCTGATTACGACTATAGAAACACAAACAAAATGAGACAAAAGATAAATTATTCAAGTAGGACAATCAAACAACCAATTTGTACTCCATAAGGAAACTTTAGGCATATACTGTAATGGGGCCCCACCTATTGTCCAATGCCACAACGAGGTCGTCAGATCAAAAATTTTAAAAATAATAATTTGCCTATCCAATTAATGTTATTTTGATTGTCAATCTTTAATATTCTGGTCTAAAAGCACAATTTGGATTATGCAATACAAAGCCATAAAGACTCTCCGCGTGAGCCTACAGGGATCTTGTTCATTTGGGGACCACCACTGAGACCCTAGTCGGACCCCTTGCAAATTTTTTGGAGCTGAGGCCTTAGTCAGCCCCTTGGTTCAGACCCTCTGTCGGACATGTCGGACCCCTTGCAAATTTCTGGAGGCAACGCTAAATGTAATTTTTATATATCTTCTCAGTGAATTTCAGTTGAGTAAATGGTAAATGCATGACTAAAATCCAGGTTACACAAATCATACTACTAAGTATATATATAAAAAAAAATCAATAAACCTAAAAAGCCGACTCTACATATTAATTATTAATATTCTTTCTCAATCATACATCAGCAGCAACAAACAAAGTGCTTTTGTTTTTCGCTAAATTAAAAGCAATCAATTTGGTATTCCATTAGCTAATGGAACTTTCCGCTAAGTCCCACCCCTTCGATATTGTTGCTACTGTGTGTTTGTGGAAAAACACGTGTGGTTGCTGGACAAGTGCACATTTCTGGCACTGTTCTGATTCGTCAGTTGTTAAGTTTGACTGACACTCTGGAACAGTCAACAACTAAAAACAATGTAAGCAAGAAATACTTAGAAAGCAAAAGTAATTTCTGAATGAATATTCAGAATGAAAATATTGATTGCATGTAAATGTTTTATTACTTTTACTTTGTTTTATTACTAGCTATAAAACTTCAAAAGAAAGTTAACAATTCATTTTTAAACTATCATCTGTGGAAATACTGTACATTTGGCCTACAATTATTGAAAGTTAATTTTAAATTCAATCTTTTATTGTTATTGAAATTGGATAATTTTTCTATCAAATAGTATTATTATTACAGAAATACACGGGAAACATCATAAAAGAAAAAAAGGTTGGTACTGTAGATATGAAGGGAATGTTTAAATCATATGAAAATGCTCAACTACCCTGTACATGTGTTTCCACTAAAAATTAACCCAAAACACTGGTTCTCAGCCAGTAGTTCATAGGGCATAAGATGACTTTTTTGGGTTTAAAAATGACACTTAAAAGCCTACAGTATGCCACAACAACTTATTCAGTAATGTAATGTAATTAGATTTATATAGCGCTTTACTGTATATCAAAGTCTTAAAACGCTTGAGGTGTACAGTTAACTAGCTTGTACAGAACGATGTCTGAACTACCCGGTAAATGAGTACCAGCTAGTCTAGTCTGTCCACAAAAAGGGCGGTGTGAACCAGTACACCGGGATAACCCCCTACTTGACTCTCTCGAAATATGTACTGGGTTCTTTAAAGTGCACATGAGCAAAAATTGTGTACACTGGCCCTGGGCCTACAGTTTATAGTCAATTTGAGAAGACTTGTTCCGCCGCCAGGACCATAAGCGAGCTTGCCGTTTGAAGCAGCGCCGATATTATGGCTGTATGTTGTGAAATCCCTGCCTTAACCATTCACTCGCCAGTGAACCCCATAGTAAACAGAATCTTAATATGAATTAATAAACTTTGTGATACACATGAATCTTTAATTTTCTTCACTATATAATAGCCTTTTCGCTATCTCTTCCTTATCTATTTTCCTGGAACTGTACAGTAATTTGATTCCTTTTAAATTTTCGAAAATGATATTAAAGTGTTCTTAGCATGAAAACTTCTCAAATATCTAGTCCCATTTTGACACTTAATGCTATATTTATTCTTATATTGTTATTGATGTTGATGATTTGCCCTTGATGGCTTGAATTTGCAAATAAAACTGAAATTAAGAGGAAAAATAGAAATTTATTAGGATATTTTCAAGACTAAATTAAACTACTAATAGTCTATCATCCTAGAGCACTACGTATAAACAAATTTGTATCCTTCCTGTCCCTGAATTTCAATGCCTTCCTTTTATCAGCTATATAGTGATGCCTACCCTGTAATTCAGAACTGAATTGTATCATCAAAAGTGTGAATAAATGTTTTGAAAGCAGGCTTGTATTAACATATAAAGATTGTCTAAAAGCAAATGTTATTCTAATGATATTAACAATATATGGTTTATATTTATATAGCGCCTTCCACGGTCGAAACCGTCTCAAGGCGCTTGAAAAATATATGTGAATAATGTATGGAAATAAATTTGACCGGAAATAACCTAAACTAACCAAACAGAATAACCGACAAAACAGATAAAAAATAAAAAATAGAATCACACATCATCACACCGTTTCACTGACCGACCAAGGCCGGTCAGCTAGTGATTTCACAGGTGTCATAATGATGTAACTAAATATAAATAAACAAACATTATAATAATATTGGTAATACAAATGGTAAATAAATAACAAATATTAAACAGTTAACAACGGTGGCAATACTGAAAAAAACAATGACTAAATAAAACAAAACAACAAAATTAGTAACAAATAATAATAACACTCTCATAACAATAACTACTAATTATGAGTAATAAATTAAAACTAGAGGGCTAATAGTCCAAACCTCACAGGCACTCACCAAAGTTAAGGTCGATTGCAAGGCAATTAAAAGTGAAATCATTCACTATGAAATGTTGTAATGTACAAGATGATACTATGTGGTTAACTATAATTACTTAGAAGTGTAATCTGCTAAACTTTCATTTTTTATTTTTATTTTATAAGGAAATATAATAACAATAATAACAGCACTGTAGTATTTTGATCTCTCTTTATGACACTTGTGGCCCAGGTCACAGGTCACTGGGCACTTATCCAACCTGTCTATTCTCTTGATGAAACTGTCCAATGGTAAAAGGTCAGGAGTTTTGTAGCTTACCACAACCAATGTTATAGTAATTCTTGAGATGCCACCATTTTACCAACACATCCTCTATTAAATAGTAAATATGTTGCAGTTCTTTATTTTTACCATGCCGTACCCGGCAGCACCTTTTTGTACAGTATATCCGTGGGACACGGTGGATATTTCGAAAGTATCAAATGTTTGTAGGGAGGAAAGTATACTTTTTACATAAAAATGTAAAAAATAAAAAAAACAAATAAACAAAAATCCATTGCACTACATTTAAAGACAGGTTGAATGCCACAGTATTCCATGTTATGAATAAAATGTTTGAGAATACAATGAGAAGAAAGAGAACGAAAGATATCAGAGGTCAAAAGGCATTACAGGTCAATGTTCCTTACCTTAAATTGAGAAACCTTAGAGAGCGTAACTGGTTTACTTTATCTGGAATGCTCTTCAAAACATTCTTGTAACAATTTAGATTCTCTAACGAGAAAAATTCACATAATTCTTCTGGAAATTCTATAAATCTATTTTTTGATAAGTCTGAAAAAAAAAACCAAAGAAAACATTATGACATACAGTAGATACATTTTAAGTTGAAATTATGATGACAATTATATTATTATCAAAACTCCCTAGGCTGGGGCAAGCCCTTTGACTGAACAATTCAAACAACTATCATTATCAACAGGCCCGTAGGTAGGGGGAATTTTCATGGTTTGGGCAAATCCCCCTCTTTTCTGGTGAACCTCCACATATCCCCCTCCCCATAATGCAATTGAGACCCACCCAGACTCAGTCAGACAGATAGAATACAAACAAGTAGGCATAAATAAACCAAAAGAATAAATAACAGACACATGTTATTAACACTTGAAACAGCGGAATGGAACTTCTGAAATTTTCAGACAATATAATAATCATCTTGAATCTTGAGAATCGCATGACTGGAGTTTGATTAGTGATAAAGTTTCCATTATTAGCGGAAAGAGAAGGGCGCCGCATACGTCTGGATTTACTTAGGAAGAGATGTATGTCAAGGTAAACTAAAGCCGCAATCGCACTGGATTTAAAATAGGGAAATTTTTACCGAGACTGTGGGTAACATTCCAATGGGTAAACTTCCTGTCGTTCGCACTGGGATTTATCGACGTGGTTAGTTTTACCACAGGCCATGGTGAAACTAACCATTCGTACACATTCAACTATTGGGGGCGCTAAATCGTGACGTTCACTTCCGGTATGTGTGGCAAAACAATTAACGAAAGCGACGGTTCTCCTTGTTGTGACAGTGTTTCTTTGGACTAGGCCCACATCATGTTGTATTTGTTGATAACCGCGATGGATTGTCTCACCAAGACCTAGCACATTTATTAATGCTCCATATAAATCGGCCATTGAAACAAACCGAGTAAGTTAAAAAAATGACAAAATTACTCAAAATCAAGACACTAGCAAACACGCGCGAAATTAATCAAGATGTTTGTGTGTGACGTTTTATTCCAGGTCACAGCTCATGCCCAATTGCCTGACAGCCTGAGGAAGGTCATTCACTGTGATGACTTGGGAAGTTTACCCGACTCGCGCTGTTCGCATTGGACTTTCCTGCCAGGTAAAACTAACCTGGTCAGTTTTCCTGGGCAAGCGGGACTCGGTTAAATTAACCACGCGGCTTGGGTATGTTTCCTGTCAGGTAAACTTCCTGTGCTGTTCGCACTGGACTAATTATGGTAAAACTAGCCAACGTGTTGGTTAGTTTTACCAAAAAAAGTCCAGTGCGATTGTGGCTTTACATTAATAAAAAGAAAAGTGCACCGCATACGTCTGGACCAATTTCCACCGCATTTTTGATATGCGAGTGCTCTATTTTTTGTTTCTAGTATCTGTATTTATATTAACTAAATTACTAGTACTACAGCTCATGTAAATTGCTTCCATCCAAGACCTCCAAGCACTGAAGAAACAAGACTATATATATCCATATATTTTCATTCTTTTCTATCATGATGCAAGAACCAGGTCAATAAATGAACTCGAAAAGGCATTAAGAGTGACAGAGAGGGCAATAGAAAGAATCAGGAGTTGCCAATCAAAAATGATAAGGAATTTATATGGGCTAGAATGAATGATGGGATTGAGCCACAGTTGAGCATAGTAAGGTGGAAATGAACCAGTAGGATAACTAATAGGATTAATATTATGTAGTCTTACAGTACTGTACATGTAGATTAGGATAGGGAATGGTTGATGTTAGATAGGGAATACATAAAGGCAAGGCTTTCCATACCTTGTTTCGGAGGCGATGATAAATCAACCTTAATTGTTTTTCCAAATGTTTTGTAAACAGCCCAGCGCGAAATTCAATAGGTTACGGCCCAGGTGTGGTTGCAACCGTATTCCGTTTATTTCACCGGGTAATCGCGCTAAGCACCCAGCGGGTGGTCGACCGTTCGACATTTCGCCTGATCACACAATGAACGACGAAATCTAAATTTAGTAGCATAGCTACGCGTTCGATTTGTAGATTTACCATTATTCGGAGAAATAAACTTGAATAATCTAGCCTACGTTTTTAAAGCAGCCATTATAAGTTATTGAGCTACATTATCGTTCCACCGCGCCGCGCTGTGTGTATGTGGGCCGGTTAATAGCAGCAGTAGCAAGTAAACAAAGAACGGGGTGTTGACCATGGGATAAGTTGAAATTTACTTCCGGAGTAGTTTTCGTCACACGTATTTACTGTGGGCTAAAACTTGCTCGAACGGTCGACCACCCGCTGAGTGCTTAGCGCGATTACCCGGTGAAATAAACGGAATACGGTTGCCGTTTTTTTGCGCGAACGGGCCCTATGTCAACACTGCTTTTACTATGCCTACTTTATTATATTATTAACCTTGCTCTCAATTCCACTGCAGACAACCACATGAGTACATCCTGTCTGATACACTGTAGTAAGTATTTGACCATGATGAAATATGGCACTGAACTTGTTCACTGCACAAACAAATATTGTACTTTTTAAAAAAGAAATTAAATTCTATACTATATTGGGAGAATCTAGATGACAGTGTTATTGGAAAGAGGCCATTATTAGTCATAGGAATTCAGTGGGCCAAGATTAAATTTTACAAACATTTTTGGAGAACTTAAATCTATTTTATAAGGCACTTTACATTCTAACTATTTATTACATTCACATTTCTTATAAGAACCAGTAAACTTTGCCCAGACTCAGTGTTCTTATTTATTTTGCCGATTTCAGGCTCAAAATGTTCTTATTTCGTTCTTATTTTACACACTTTTCAAAGACAGAAAATTATTTTACAGAAGTACATTAACTATACCATAGGCCTACTGTATTATAGAGGGTTACTTAGTTGCACATACACATAAGGTACAGATAATATTCGTTGATTTTTCTTTTTTCTTTTAAAATAAAAATCTCATTTGACTTTTACCTTAGCCTCAATTTGTTCATATTTTTTTTTCAAGCAATTTCAACCATCAGTGTTCTTATGAAAAGGAAGTTTTATTGACTATTAATGCTGTATTCATACATTATACAATACTGTATACGAGAAACTTCTTTCCAGATGTATTTACTATTAATGCAATAAAAATAAACAAAACTTGACAGTACCTGGATGAATACAGTAACAATATTCATAAATGTAAATAAGTTGGCAGAGTATAAATAACCGGTTTTGATTTTTGCTATTAATTTAAAAACCTGAAAGTATGATGGTTTATTTTGAATGACATCTGCAGAAAACTCTGAATACGATATAGTAGTAGTAGTAGTAGAAGTAGTAGTAGTTGTAGTAGTAGTATTAGTAAAGGTCAAAACCTAAAGCTCTGTTTTCACACACTGCAACAAAAATAGTGTTTTTACCTGGAGATGCAAGGCACTATCAACAATTAACTACTAAAGGAAAAGTATAGGCCTATGTAGAAAGAAAATCATTTGCATTTCCAATGATTCATAAAAAATAAGCCATTCATAAGACTACCAACTGGACATGTGTTGACAACTTCTATCCTACAGTGATTTCAGAATCCTTGCATGTAAGCACATTTTCTGTTGATAACAGTAAGAGAAACTTGATATTTTTACTTGAGGGAAGCAAGTTGAAATAGTATTAAGAGGAAGAGGTACACCATAGCCAAGAATGGATTATTTAGATATAGTTGAAACCAAGAGTATACTGTAAATAATTTTTTTAATGAATAGGAGAGGAAAATTAGTGGAGAGGGAAAGGGGAGCAGGCATGAGGGAATTTCATAGATTTTCACTTGTCCCCGGACAAGTACCTTGGAAAAATGCACTTGTCCTGAAGACAATTTTACTTGTCCCAATTTTATTGCGCAATAATCATAAAAAAATAACACAAAAGTAAAAACAAAGCTTTCCAATACTATAGGGAGGTGTCCTATCATTTTACAGCACAGGCCAGTGGGTTAAAGCCCAGGTGGAGGTGCAAGCCAAGACAAACTGGACAATTTTGGGCCACTTTAAGCTATTCTGGGATTTAGAACAAATTATTAAATAAAATCAAAAGGTAATATATTTCCAGTTTCGGTCCAATGTGGTATACGAATGAGGCTATTATCTGACAAAGGTTAGTTTCTCTTTCCATGGTGGAGCTGTTACTGCAGACAGTGTTTAAACAGCATGGTCACTGTGACAAATGAAATTATGCCATTGGCTATGAGTAAAATTATGCTACAGAATGCTACGCCTCAAATAGTAGATAAATACAGGACTGCTGTGGACTTGATGAACATTTTGGTACTCAGATACACAGCAGTTGGTTATGCACTATAAAAATGGATTTAACACATTCGCTGCCACACCTCTTTACCTAATTGTTTTTTTAGTTGGGGTGAGAAAATTTGAAGAATAGACACCTCTAAATGGCACTCACAAGACATTTTTTACAATTTAATTTTCTATATGTAACAAAATTTACAGTAATTCTAAATTATGCTAGATTACACTATGTTTTCATGAAAATATGCATAGAGCTTAATGCCACATGGATCCTAATTATGCCAAAAAAAGCATAACTACTGTATGCCACAAACTACAGTATGTTTTTGAATGACATGGATGTGTAAGATGAGCTAGCAACATAAATGGCTGGTAACACTTGACATTCAACCTCAGACAAGAAGAGATAAACATAATGATGATGTCATACCAGGAAGCTGAATGATATTATCTGCATACTAAATGCTATCTCTGTATACTTAGTCTAATTTATAAAGATTTATAGGTGTCATGTAAAAAATGTAATTTCCTTTTGGAAACAAAGTTTACCAACTAGTTTCTAGGTCAAAGTTGAAATACACCATTTGTTGTTGAATATTTTGTTTTGTATCTAAGTAGTAGTAGACCTGATGTTGGCATCGCTGATGATGAAAAGAGACCACAGTTTATATTTTTTTTAAATTACAGTTCGAAACCATCTTTGAGTCCTGAAAATGTGGGCGGAGGGGGGTGGTCTCAGGGTTGTCTCCAATTTGAAGGTTAGCTTGTGTTA